CAATTGTGATTTTTCAACATAATTTTTCTTTTGCAGACCGTAACTGCTAAAGCAAAACAAAACCCAAAGATAAATAGCTTTCATAGGTTTTTGCCACGCTAGATTTTTCAAAGCAAGGAATGAAATGTCGAAACGTCCACTCAGTGGTTCCTTGTCCTTAAAAATCCTGGGGAGAATCAGATCATCTGAAATAGAAACTCTGCTATTTTTATACGCAATTGCAAATCGGGACGTTGCCAGGCTTTCGTCTCAGCAACGAGTCTTCCTAGGAACTGGATCTAGGATTTATTTATACTTTACACTTTGGGGAAAGGTACATTTTGAGTCCTTTCAGTTTTTGGTGTTCCCTTTCCTGAAGAACCTTTGAAATTACTTTTTATATTTTTTGGTCTCCACCTAGAAAGAGAAGGTGGCAGAAAGACGGAGCTGGTGAGACCCTCACTCATTTGGGCACCACTAGTATTAACCGAATGGATAATGAAACACGTTGGCTAGTGAACGATGCCATGTTATTTTTGTTTGTAATTCAAATCAGTGACTAGGCACTCCCAATAAAAGGGGACTGGGTGCAACCACTTTGAGTCTAACTCAAAATCCATGTCCCGGGGCAGGAGAAAATGCCAACATCAAAAATTAGGCATCAACTTTTCAAATTACCATACGGTTGCTTAATGCAGGACTCCAGGAACATTGTGTGAACACACACACATCCTCTTCAGCCACTGATCTATCCTGGAAAAGACTTAGGAAATCTCTTAGCTACCAACACCTTCCCTTTATATGGCCCATTCTTTTTTTCATGGACGAAGACGGAAAAGGCTTATGGGAAATGATGTTATTATGACTGAGAACATGATTATTCGGAGGTTCCAATATATTCGTGTGTGTGTGTGTGTGTGTATGTGTATGTACGCATGTGTAATCTTCAAAACGCAGTAAGGCAGGGAACATAAACCCACTTGCGCCAGAAGCATTTATTCAAATTAATTCATCAGCAACACTAAACCCCTTTTTCTATCAGTAGACTGGCTCTCAAACAGGAGGTTCTCTTAGAGCTGCTGTAAGGCACAATGCTGAATCCTTTACTGGCTGATGAATCTGACGGAGTACAGGTTATAATCCTGACTGATTTTTATCGGGGGCGGAGGACGACTAATAGAAGGAAAATGAACAAAGCTGTGTCTGAGAGAGGGATTCAGGAAAAAATGTAACATGAGCCACTCCCGCCACGCAGGCCTGCTGGTACCGGGTTGCAGTCTGGAATGGGAGGAGTTACAGGAGCCTGGATGGAGTCAGGAGGCTCCTTCCAGGTGTCTGCTCTCCTCTAGCTCTGCATCTTTGTTTGGCCAAGTGCGGTGAGTGTGTGAGGGAGGAGTACCAAAAGCAAAGCACAGCCCAGGGCTGGGGAGGCTGCCTTGATTTCCTGTTTCACTCCGGGGAGAGAAAAGCAGTCGTTTTTGGTGTTTGATTGTAGCTTCTGATGGATTCGGATAAATAGAAAGGCGACTTTCTAATAGACTAGCTCAAAAGACATAGAAAAAGTGGCTTAGAAATAGTACATACAATTGAGTGTCAATTACTTTTTTAAAATTAAACAAAACAGTAGGCTGGAACATGTACTTAACCGTGTGGTATGCATTGGCTGTTGCCGATTAATGAAATAGCTGTGGTTACTGAAATCTCAGCAAGGGAGTTTTCAAGCATCAAAATTATAAACAATTCCAATAATAATAAAAGACAGTAAAAGCTCCCTTTGCTCAATTCAACAAGTATTTACTGAGCACCCCTTATGGGCCTTTATGGGTTTATTTCTCTGTCCTAATTTTAGTTTTAGTTTCAGGCAGTGTTTGATCTTTAGGAACTTGTAACACCTAAATGTGGGAACTGCCTGTATTCTGGTGTGAAAATTTAAAAATTCAGTTACAGAAGGTGGTGAACTTCTCCACTGAGGAGGCCACAAAGCAGGGTTCCCTTCGCAACCTTTCTTACCATGCTGACAATTTAATTCCTATAGAACGAGGTTAGCATATTCCCTTGCAGGAACAGGTCCACTGCAAGAAAGATTATTCATTTACTCATAAAATGATATTTAATGAACACCGAAGTGTGTACAAAATCACTGAGGTGCCCCATACCTGTCTACCTCACAGGGTTTCAGTAGGACTCCAATGAGAAATCTAGGTGACTCCACTTAAAAAAACGTAAATTGCTCTATGTAGAGAAATGCTATTTTTATTACGTACCTGAATGAGTCACGAACACATTCAATTGTTCCCAAATGTAGAAAGTTAAAATTATCTGGGTCTCTTTTCCTTAAGTTTTAATAGTAGCTAACATTTATTGAGCTTGAAGTGCCACTGGTGTGTTACATGCTTTGTAACAATTCTCCTCATCCCTCCAATACCCTTAGCAGGTGGGTATTGTCTACATACTAAAAGATGAGAAAACAGGAGGTCAAGAAATCTGATGAAATTCCCATAACTAGACAGTATTACAAAACTGGGATTTGAATTCCCACCTATTTGTCTGCAAATCCTGTGAGCTCAATTCTGTTCTGTAATGTACATTTTTTTTAAAGATGATGATTTTCTTTAATTATATTACAGGTAAGCCACATTTGTATTATGAAACATCAAGCAGTTTCAAGATTACCAAATAGAATTACAACTTCTTGATCATTCAGGGTTGTCGATGAATAGTAGTAATGGCGCTGGGCTATGCCCTGGTTTATCCTAAAGCAGGCAGGGCTGCTTGTCCCTGCTCTTAAGACCTAAAGTGATTTTTGCCTGTGTTTAGCCATGTGGTTTTTCTGTCTTTTCCTTTAACCTGTCACTTCTCCCTGATGGTTCTGTGCCTGTAATGTGCTGGGGAATAATAAACCAAATGGGCAATGGTAGGGATCTAAGGCAGTGGTTCTAAGCTGTGAACATGACTCACCAGGTGAGCTAGTTTAAATGCAGATTCTTGGGCCCCACTCCCTGATGTTCAGCTTTAGTAGCTCTCGGAACTTGAGGCCCAAGAATTGCTGCTCTAGGAGTAAAGAACACACACTTTATGATTGTGTGAAATGTATTCTCTAAGCAGCATCTGTTTTAAGTTTTAGATTTTCATCTATGGCCTGGTGACTAAATGTAGGGATTAAAAAAATGTTAAATATATAGACGAGGTGAGTGGGAGACAGAACCTGCTATTTTCACTTATATTATAAAATACCAGATTTATTGACTAAAAGAGCAACAGAAGAACCTGAAAGTACCACCAGAATGACTTACTTTTTCCAAAACTCCACTTTCGGAAAGTCTGTCAAAATTCTAGGTCTCTTTCTTCTTGAAGAGCATGGGTATGAATGTTGGCTCTCTGCTAGTTAGTTATCTGACTTCTGACAAATCACCTAACCAGTCTGAGCCAGTTCCACCCTCACCTTTAAAGGAGAGAATAGTATCTCCTTTCAGGGAGGGTGGGGCTTCAGAGATAACGCACAGAACGTTCCTGGTAAGTACTCAATATGTGGTCAAATTTTAAAAATGAACTTTTTTTTTTTTAAATAGGAATTCCAGTTGTAATGATCACAAAACTTTTGTGACTCTTTGAGGGGCTCAGCTTTCATATTTATACATCCAATGTTATATAGAGATAGGCACAGCGGAGTGTCCTCCCTTATAGTCTAAGGCAATAAACCAAATTTACATTCTAGGCACATTCTTACTTTAGCTGTATGAAACAGGCCTGCTGTTTGAAACTTCAGCTGTATGAAACAGGAAGTAGTTATCTCTATGTCACACTACAAGGAATGCAAAGAAACCAACCAAGACTTTGATATCTTAAATATTAGAGACAAACCCTAAATATTTATAATGAAGTATCATTTACTTCACTGGAAGAAACAGGCATACTAACATGAAAAAACACATTTTATTGCACTTAAGTTATAAGAAAATAAAATTTCTAAGTGAATCAAACCATAGACACAATCCCTTTAAAGGTTGTTTTCCTCCATCATGTCAGGTTGTTACATAACTAAAATTAACCAACTTGAATCTGATTGTTTTAAATCAGACTATAAATAAAACAAAAAAAAAATAAACAGGAGGAGGAAAAAAAGATCACCTAGGATACAGTGTTAAACCACTTTCACAGTTCAGCTTGAGTTGTGGCTCTTGGAGAATGAGGCAAACCATTTGACTTTTTCATTCATTTCGTTTGTTTGCATGTGACGCCTTTACTACAAAAACTGAATAGTTTCTGCTTTGTCAGTTTCTCAGAGCAATAAAACTGTAACAGTTGTTTTCCCAAATACTGTAAAACACTAAGACTGACCAGCAACTTTGTTTTATATATTTTTAAAATATTTTGTCAGTTTTATTATGTACGTTCATCCATTCACCACAGCCCTCAAAAAGAAAAGTTTCTCCACAGAACAGGCGGCAATAGCTCTCTGTTCCAAGGAATGTGTTTTAATTTTTGCCCAGATAAAAGAAAATAAGCTTTGCACACACTCTCAATTCTTTACTTGCAGGCAAACTTCACTCTTTATTATCTGAAACTGTCCCATTCTCAGCCTCTTAGAGGCACAGATGGTTCAAGTTTCAGTGGCAAAAAGTCTTTTTTCTGTAACCAAACTAGAGCAAATTTGGAATTCAGTCTGGGACTAAAACGTCACAGCAGAAAAAAAATAAAAAAAAATAATTTGCTTTTTTCTTTCTTTCATTTAGCAGCATAAATAAGTTTGGCCACTGGGAGTACAGTACAGGGGTGGGACAACAATCCCATATTTGAAGACCTACTTCTAGCACCAGCATCAAGAATTAAATCCATCTCAGGACTCACGGAACCCAGGACAACTTGCCACCTTTGAGCAACATATGCATTGAAGAGTGTATGTGGAAGCGACAGTAAATAGATTAACAGAGGCTAATACTGTGATTGATTGACATTGGCAATGGTTGGCAAAAAAAAAAAAAGCTTTTCATGATAACTGTACAAAAACAATTCACAGTAAATTTTTTTTTTTTTTTTTTTTTTTTTTTTTTAAGCTTCTCCACTCCAGAAAAATGACTTTTTGTTGCAGATGCTCTCTACTGAGAAAGTCAGCCAGTCCCTGTTTGGGTGTTATTGCAGCCCCTTCCTAGGTCTCAGTGGTAAAAGGACAGGCTAACAGAATCTGTAACGAAGCTTCAGCGTTAACACTGCCCAGTGACCACTGGAGAAGAAAATAAAGAAATAATTGCACCTGGTTTGATTTAAAAAGTCTCATTTTGCAAAGCTGCCCTCAGTCAAAAGTGAAGCCTTTTATGTGCTGAGACAGCAGATGCCTCTCTCGTCAGTTACGGTTTGTCATGTCTTCCTCTTTTCCTTCTTGTCTGTAGATCTCTTCACTCTGTTGCCCCAAGCCAACATCCTGCACCACTGAGAACAAGGGATTTTTTTTTTCTTTTTCTTTTTTTTTTTTTTTTTTTTGCTTTTTTCTTCTGTTGTTTTTGTTTTTTGTTTGTTTGTTTTTCAGGGGGAAGGGCAGGGAGTATATCGTCTACACATTTGGACAAATTTCTTTTCTGCTCTTCACTTCATGTCCACATCGAAGTCCAGCACCAGCAGCTTGGTTTCCTCAGTCCCATTCCGACTCCCAACTGCACACACCAGCTTTGTGTTTGAGGCTCTGATCCGCCACACGACTCCCCCACTCCCCCCACTCTCCAATGTGACTAGGTTTCGAATAAATTCACCCGTTTTCAAGTCCCATAGTTTTACAGTTCCATCATCTGAGCTGGTAATTACAAAGTTCTTGTTGAACTGTAAACAGGTCACAGCACTCTGATGCTTGTTAGGACCTAGGCAAAACCAAAGGAATTAAATTACTGGTTAGAAATCATGGGTATGGGCAAGTTACACTATAATTGTACCCTTCTACATTAGAACATACAATAAATGAAATATTTAAAATGCTGCATATTTAGAAACTGTGAGTATTTTAGGATCAGCAGGGTTGCAAGAAAATCTGGTAGTTATTTGTAACTGAAACATTAACTTTCAAGAGTTCTGTCTTCCAGGAAGCTTGGTTAGCTATGGGGCACACGTTTTGTTTTCCAGCTGTGCAAATAAGAGCCTTCCTAGTGGTGATGGAGATAGCTCAGCTTCATGTATTCTGCTGATGGACGAATGGGCACGAAATCTACCAGCCTTACCACCTGGAACTGACCACTCAGAGACGAAGGCTGAAATGACCACAATTCCAAAACTCTGAGGAACAGACACAACCAATGAGTAAAAAGTTGCAGTGCAGCCCACCAAATGGCCTCAATGAAAAAACACTTTTCAGGGCTATGACCAATAAAAAGAAGTTAATCATGACATAAAATGTTAACACCGTTGTGCCTCATTTAATATTAGTGGCTTTCACATGTTTCTTTCTTCATTTTACTGGGTGCTATCATTCCTTCCATCCTAGTTAAGTAGATGGTTAAAGGGTCTAAGTTGAGGCCAAATCAATTTTCTATCAGATTAGAGATGCTCTTTTTACCCCAGTAAGGTAGCTCTTTAATTTAGAATTGGACTACAAATTCAAAATTAAAAAAAAAAAAATCATTCAAAAAAAAAAATGAGCTTGTTGCTTCTATGATATGGCCAAGATCTTTCTTCACATTGTTCTTTAAGATTAGGTCGAATTAACTGTACATGTAAGGAAGTATTAAACAATTTTATATTAAAAACACAATTTAAAACAATTTCTTAAAGGTAGCCTAGTTCTGTCAAGTCAGAGTGAAAATGCTCAGAAACTTATCCAAAATAAGCATTTTCATTTTGTATGAGGTTAATTCTTTTTGTGACATAAAAGCTCCGTATTTCTCTTTTGACTAACAATCCCATTTTTAACAAACACAACTAAAGCTGAGTAGCCAAGACTTACCTTGCAATGTTTGTAAACACTGTCCTGTTTTGATATCCCAGATTTTAACTGTAGAATCTGCATTCCCAGAGACAAGAATATTGTCTTTGAGTTCCATTCCACTTGTTAATGATTGGTGTCCTGTTAACGTGTGAATGCAATTCCCCGTCTCCACATCCCACACTCGGATTGATGTATCAAGAGATCCACTCACCACATGGATGCCATCAAACTACAACAGACACAGCTTATTAGACTAGAAGTGCAGATATTCTTGATATTATTTATTGACCTTAATCCTACAGGGGAGAAAAATAAAGCATGGGAAAGAGGTAATGCCAGGAATAAAATGAGGTAACAGGATAAAGTGCAGGTAAATCAAGCAAATCTACAGTGTATGTTCTCAGAAGCTTCTATCAGAATTGCTAATTTTAAAAAAAGATTTATTTATTTATTTTAGAGAGGGATGGAGGGGCAGAGGGAGAGGAGGGAGAGAATCCCAAGTTGACTCCCTGCCGAGCACGGAGCCCAACGCAGGGTTCGATTCCACAACCCTGAGATCATGACCCAAGCAGAAACCAAGAGTCGGATGCTCAACCAACTGAGCCACCAAGGTACCCCCAGAATTGCTAATGTTTTATGGCCAGTGGCTTCAAACTAGATGCAGAAACAATTAAAAGAAAACAAAACACCTAAAATGAACATGTTAGTTTCAGATCATCTGGCCACAGATGATCAGCTAAATATCATGGATCATTCAATAAAGATTGCCATTTGAATCTTACTTCCCAACACAAAGTTGAAACTACTGACATAGCTTGTGATAAAGGGTGTGTAGTATATTAACATCTACGGCATGAAAAGACTAGAGACAACTCTCATGGTGTTTAAAAGTAAGTTCCAGGGGTGCCTGGGTGGCTCAGTTGGTTAAGTGGCTGCCTTCGGTCCATGTCATGATCCTAGCCTCCTGGGATCGAGTCATGCATTGGGCTCCATGCTCAGCAGGGAGCCTGCTTCTCCCTCTCCCTGCCTTCCTACTTGTGATCTCTCTCTCTGTCAAATAAATAAATAAAATCTTAAAAAATAAAAGTTCCATTAAAATCTGTATGTAAAATAAAAATTTCATTTACAAGAACCAAATGGTAATTAGGAAATGCACCAATAGATAATTACATCTGGAATTACAAGAAGTGGCATTTTGATAACAAAAGCAAGCTATATTGCACCTCTTCTCCAGCTTCCCAGCTATACTAAAAGTCAATAGATATCAATTCCTAGAAGATCTAGAATAGCATTGCTACCTCTTTTCTCAATCTAATGGTTTACTTAAATGAGAATATTATATTCATTAAGGTTCTGAACATATCACAAAACATAAAAACAACTTCAGCCAATTCCCTCTCCTCCAAATTCATAAACTTTTTTAAGTTAATATATCTTTATTATATATCAATATTTTGTGACATAGACAGTATTCCACAAATTAAAGGCCAAATATTCCAAGAGTAGATAACTGTCAGCACTGGGACTACGTACTAATCTGCTGATCACTAATGGGCAGTAACTGGTAAATAAACTATATAAGTAATGGAAAAATTTTCAACTTGAAAATGCTTTCAGAAAATAAAACAAGACCCATTTTCTAAATTTGCTATTAATCTAGCTATCAATTTCAAAAATATGACAACTCACTCAAGAATATCATGTTCAAAGGTAAACAAAAAAAATCAGGTTAGTCAAATTTACTTCCTATGACTACAAATCAGTAGCCCTTTGATGGTAGAGCAGTCTGATGGAGAAAGGCTCTGCTTCCACTTTGAATGGGAATGGATCACAATTACATGGTCCATCAACTTTATTATTTAAATAAGTTAAAAATTTATGCTTTCTTCATGCCAATTTTAAAGCATATGTAAACAACAGGATAATCTGATTTGTCTTTTTTGGATTGTATTGAATCAGCAATTTGACAGTGATTATCTGAGTAAAACAATCTCATGATTCATCAGTAAAGCATCTAAGGGATAGGAGAGATATGATCTCTTACCTGTAATGAATAGACTCTATTAGTATGCCCCTGCAACGTGTGTAGACAGGTCTCCGTCTCTGGATCCCACACCTTCACCATAAAATCATATGCTCCACTAACAACCCTCCTGCCATCATATTGAACACAGCGGACTGCTGCTACATGACCCATCAAAACATGTAAACACTGGCCTGTCTCAATATCCCAAACCCTAAGAGTGGCATCTCGAGAACCGCTAACAACTCTGTGGGGGGAGGGGGGGACAGAAAAAAAAAATTATTAGAATTTTTAATAGCATGAGAAAACATGATATATAAAGTCAGTGGTTATTGAATTTTTTCTTTTCTTAAGCAGGAACACCTGTTTTCAAAGAAATCCTATGTAAAACCTTGAGATATAAACATACAAAAGTCAAGTTACTCTGGTTGGGATGGGAAGTTGGGAAGCCTAGAACTGTACCTGCTTGGTTCCCACATTTCCCACATTTATAAGTGGCCGTGCAGCACCCGGGGTTCTGTGGGATGGCCTGAAAACTGCTGTATTGTATTCAAAGCAGAAGCAGCAGTGGCCAGCTCCAAATATAGACAATAAGATTTTGATTTTAGAAATAAAATGCTAATGTGGGCAACATGTATAAAATGTTAATGGGAGAACTCTGGTGGTAGTATTTTGAAAAATTTTGTATTTCTTCTTTATTCTTTCTGCCATTTCCCAAAATTGTAATTATGAACATACATTCTCTTTGTGACTAGGGAAGACATTTAATAAACGTTATTCAACAAAACAAATCTGAATTTGGAATTTAAACAGTTAAAGATATGTGCCTTATACCATTATAATTCTGGTAAAATTAACCAGTTTTAGAATAAGTTCAAACAAAGGCTGCTTATGCTTATAATTATAGTCAGCAGGCTATGGAGGAATTAAGATATGCAGATTTTAGAAGATACACACGGGGAGGCAACAGAAACCCCTTAAAAAATTGGCCCAACATTATTAAAGCTATGCTCTTCTGAAGACTGGAGGGATACAAATATCACAAGTACTTTTGGATTATGAAGGAGAGCTGAAAATTCAGGTATTTTCATGCTAGTCTTAAGAGATAAAGATAGGCCACAGTTTCTACATTTGGAAGAGTAGAAAGGAGCATTGAGAGATTTAAGTCAGAATATAACGGAAACTGAAATACAAGGTTTCTTAATGTCAACCCCCCCAAATTTTAATAGAGCACACTGTTCAAAGTAGATTCAGATTACAAATGAAATAGTACTTTTCTTCACATATTACAAATCTAGCGTGAAATCTGCTTAATGTAATGGTTTTCACAAAGAAGATGTTGTGGACAGAATTAAAGGTAAGGACGGGAGCAGATTCATGGTAAGGACTGCCAGAGAGACCTTTTATGACAAATGAAGTCGAAATCACATTTGTTTAACGAGGTACTGTGAAGACATGCCAATAGAAGATCGAAAGGACTTTAACAGAAGGGCTTTGAGGAGGATATCAAAGCAACAGAAAAGGCACTGAGAAGAAAAAACGGCAAGCCAGTCTGGTTTGGCTGAAAGTATTTTGGGAAAACTGGATTGAGGATTTCTTCCTTGATTCGACAGACAACAGAAGGCTCTCAAAGGGCAGTGATACTATCATAATTAGAAAAGGATTCTCTGTCAGCTGTGTAACAGGTGAGAAAACCACATGTGATAGCTATGTCACTAGTTCAGGTGATTGGTAATGAGAGACTCAACAAAAACCGGCAGACCTCAGCTTTTGTCTAGATATAAGGGGATATGATGGAGTGCGGGTAGGGTGGGTGGGTTATTAAAAAGACTCAGACGCTGGAAGCCTGAATAACTGAATTTGTCCCACGAGCAGAGATAAAAATGTAAAAAAAAGAGAGAGAAAGAAAAAGATTGTTTTGGAGATGATGAGTCATCAAAGATATAGAACAAATAAAGTGCCACCCAAGATTAGAGAACAGAGTTTCAAGGAGGAAGCCAACAACCCCATTAAATGAAGAAGGAAAATTAAAGACAATCTCCTAATTTTAAGCCAATACACTACTGCTTTGCTAGTATAGAAACATCTCAAGTCTACTAATTAAAGTCTAATTTAAGAGGACACTATCACTCTCTAATAAACACTGTATTAGACAACTGATAACAGAGGAAGAATTCCCAACCACTACAGGATCTTCCCTTACCTTTTTTCATGGAGATGCATACAGCGGACAGTGGAAGTATGCCCATATAATGTATGTATACATTCTCCAGTCTCTGCATTCCACACTTTTAGAGTCCGATCTGTAGATCCACTAATGATGATATTGTCTCTCATCTGTGATGACCATACTCCACCTGTGTGTCCCACTAATGTTCTCAGACACTGGAAAAACACTTAAGATGATTACTTTTGGGTAGAAAGAAAAATGATTTACATAACATTTCAGTAGCTCATTAAAATTTGGGGTAAAGTTATTTATAAAATTTTATTGTTTGGCACATCAGAAAATAATTTTTCACATCAATATAACATGATACCATCACTATTTATTGCTTTGCTTGTTCAGTAGCATTACATATTAAACACACAGATACAACTGAGGAACAAGTTTGTAGAAAGTAAAACACTTCTCATTAAAGTATGACAGCTCCAGCCTGGTCTCTGATAAAATAATGCTAAAACTGCAACTTGGTTACTTCCATAGGAATGGATTCAATGAAAGAATGCCAACCGTGTTAGGTGTGGCTACATAGCACATTTCATCTGAATCTGCCCCAAGGCAGTAGTTAGGAGCCAGGCAAGGTACTTCTAGACAAGTAAAGACAGATATTAAAACTCTGAAATAAATCCAAAACTAATATTACACTATGAAAGTATGAAGCTGCTTTAAAAAATTTTAACATCCGATTTGGACTATTTAGAAGATTCTTGCCCAAGACTTAGCATGCTGTAAAACATTTTAAAAGACAGGTTTTTTTCCCTCACATTTTCCTCTGTGTTTTTTTAGCTGGTCAATTACTTAATTTATGCAAACATTTTCCAGTGGACAGATAAAAATAAGTATTCACCAAAGAACCACTGAAGTATAATACTGCATGCAGTGAAAGTGATTGGTTGGACTGCTTTTTTCTTCAAACTCCTACTTAAATACTGTATCTGCTTTACTTTCATCGCACAGGGCTTGAGATAAGCCTAAATTAACATGATCTATTTAACTTCTAAACTACAGGTAAGTTATCAACAAAGCAGTTTACAAAGAAAAACAAATATCCCTCAATCATAGTTTTGAAAAAGATTAAAAGGGACAATATAACTGAGATGGTTAATAAAAGTGGGAAATATTAAGCCAAGAAAAAGAAAAAAAAAAGATAAAGCACATCTGTAAAAATCATACAATAGCTAAGTCACAAAGATAGACAAACTATTTACAGGAAGAAACTAATGACATCCCTATCCTGAGAAACATTATCTTTGTGCCAGGGGAAAAACTAAATTAGAAGCTCTGATATTTGTTATCAAAATAAGCTGTGGTCAAAAATGAACCCATGTTTTCCCTGGTTGATCCTTGCAAAGACATATACAAAAAGTGAAATGTAGAAAGAAGCTTACTTTGCCTGTGACTGCTGACCAAACTTTTAAAGTGTTGTCATCAGAACCACTAACTATTCGGTTACCACAAAACTGCAAGCATGTGATCACATGATCATCATGTCCTTTCAGAACCTACAAGATAAATGTACAGATTAGTAATATGTTATTAAATTACGTTTTTTAGAATAATGGTGAAAAGAAAAATAAAGCCATAAATAGGAGCAGCAATCTACAGTCTATTTCTAAAATTACAACTTATATAAAACACAAAGTATCATCCTTCCTGAATGATGAATCAAGTATTAAACATTTTATTTTTTCCATATTCTATGATTTATATGTGAGATATCAACTATTAAAATTGAGTGAGTCAAGACTTTTATATTAAAACTTCATAAAGATGGTTCAAACACAAATGTATTTTATAATTATTTATTTGCTCAAACCAAAAAAATACGCATCTATGTTTTGCAATTTTCACACACAAAAACAAAAGCACTTACAAACTAGAAAGACAAGAGTAACAATAATTATCAACTTTCTCAACTTAAAACAAGAAAGGCCTGCGGGCGCCTGCATGGTTCAGTCAGTTAAGCGTCTGACTCTTGATTTTGGTTCAGGTCATGATCTCAGGGTCATGAGATCAAATCCCAGGTAGGGCTCCATGCTGGGTGTGGAGTCTGCTTGAGATTCTCTCTCTCTCTTCTCCCTCTGCCCCTCTCCCCGAACCCTGCTCGCACCCACTCATTCTCTCAAAAAAAAAAGGCCTGATATAATCTATACATATTAATATAACAGTATCTCCCCTAATTGCTTTTTTCTAGTCATATAAATACATCTAAGAATTTCAAGCATTTTGCCACTATTTATATACTTGCAGTAAGACAGAAAATGAGTATTATGCTTAAATTTATAAAAATAAAACTCACAAGAAACACCCAAAACACAAACTATTTACAAGAGGCACTGAAAACACAAATGCGCACTCCTCAAAAAATCATGTTCTAACTACATGGTCAGAGAGCAAGCAAATTCTTAGGTAAAACGTATATAACACAAAATTCAACAGGATATTCAGAAATTTTCATTTACCTAAGGCAGAATGACATGCAATTCAACTCATCTTTTATCATCTTTTACCATCAGTTGTCAGACTGGAGAAATTAGCAAGAGGGGACTACTGCTCATTACATTTTCAGTTATTTAAAAATATACTGTTTCTTTCTATAGGAGATAGTCATCAAGTTATACTCCTGGCCAAGAAGAGCACACTAGGTACCAACACTGATCTGTGGTTGCTGGTACATCGTGCCAGAGTTCAATTACCTTAGGAGATTTGAGTTCTCCTCGCCTCCAGTTAGTATCAATTCTGTGCTGCCTGATGTATGCACTTTTCCATGGACTGTGTATGAAACCTGGTTTTATGACTTTTCTTCTCTTGATGTGCAATGGTTCATCAATACCTAAAGTTTTAAAGAGTTAGAGTATAACTGCTGTCACCAATAATAAAAATTCCACATTTTATAATATATCTCATTTCCTCCTATGCTCAAAACCACTGAAATGCAGGATGCTGTCCAATTTCTAACACTGTTAGTATAAAACAATAATGTAAAGTTTGCATTCTCTATGGCATGTTTTCATATTTTTTTCATTTCTTTTTCTAAATAATTCTATGAAATGTTGGTGAGGATAAATAAGGGCAGAAATTTGAGCCCTTATGCAATACTTGTGATAATATAAAATGGTATAGCAGCTATGGGAAACAGTACGGTGGTTCATCAAAAAAATTAAACATAGAATTACCGTATGATCCAGCAATTCCAATTCTGGACATACACCCAAAAGAATTAAAAGCAGAAACCTGAACAGGTATCTGTACACACATGTTCAGAGCTGCCATCATTCATAACTGCTGAAAGGTGGAAGCAACCCAAGTGTCCATCGATGGATGAATAAGCAAAATGTCATGTATGTACGTATGTATGTATACATATATATACATACACACACACAAACACAACGGAATATTTATTCAGACTTAAAAAGGAAGGGAATTTTGACACATGCCACCACATGGATAAACCCCGAAGACAATATGCAAAGTGAAATCAGCCAGTCACAAAAAAACAAATACCATATGATTCTACTTATATGAGGCACCCAGAGAAGTCAAAATCATAGAGACAGAAAATAGAACGGTGGTTGCCAGGGGCTGCAGGGAGGAGGACTAGGGAGTTACTATTAAATAGGTATGGACTTTCAGCCGAGAAAGATGAAAAAGTTCTGGAGATGGACTGTATAACAACATGAATATACTTAATGCCACTGAACTGTAAACTTAAAAATGGTTACAATGATAAATTGTCTTAGGTATATGTTACCATAATTTTTTTTTAAAAGTCATTAAAATAATGATTCTATGAGAGAAGGTAAGGCAGGGATGATTAATCCCACTTCATATAATATAGATTCTTGAGAAGGTTTCACTAATTAGTCCAAGCTACAGACAGGGCAGAGGCAGGATCAGAAACCAAGTATCTTAGATCTTCACCTTTCACTCACCTGTAACCTCCTTGAAGGGGAGGATAACCTATAGAGTATCTGTCTCATGCTCTGTGATTGTTTCTAAAAATTTCTGATTATCAGAGACAAATCATACTTTTACATTTTTTTCAAAAATACAATTTTTCTATAGGCCTGCTGGAAAAAAAGTCCTTTCTTTACTTAATATGGAGGATACCTTCTCCTTTACTAAGAAAGGAGTTTTGTTTTTGTTTTTGTTTTTTTTTTCTTACAGTTTTCAAGAACATAAGCTCCATGATGGGAAGAAAGTGGGAGTTCACTACTATATCCCCAACATTTAAGAATGTCTAGCCCATAGGAGGTGTTCAATAAATATTTGTGGAAGGAAAGAATAGAATATGGAGTATTTGAGTACTGTTAATATAATTTTGGGGTTTCCCTTATTCTATTTTATTTTATTTTATTTAATGAGTGAGTGAGTGAGTGAGTGAGTGAGTGAGTGAGTGAGTGAGTGAGTAGTCATTTATTTAGTGTGAATTCTAGTCAGCGAGTTTCTCTCCCAAGGACAGTTGCAATTATAACCTTACCTCTAACTGTAAGTACTGGAGAGGCAGTATACCTTTCTCTTCCATAAAATCGCTGGTAGAAATTCATATATATCTTATTTTAAGCAAAAGTTTGTATTTAGGTCTTTTGTTTGTCTTTTTTTAAATTGAGGTATAACTGACATACAATATTAATAACAGGTGTACAGCACAGTGATTTGATATATACATTGCAAAATGGTCACCACAATAAATCTAGTTATCCTCTGCCAACTTACAAAGTTACTACAATATTATTGACTATATTCCCCACGCTTTCATCTCATCTCCATGACTTATTTCCTAATTGTAAGTTTGTAGCTCTTAATCCCCTTTACATGATTTTGCCCCCCAAGCCCCCTCCCCTCTGGCAACCACCAATCTGCTCTGTATCTATGGGTCTGTGTTTTGTTTTTTGGGTTTCCTTTAAATCATCCTCATCTTGATCTTTTCATTGTTTGTTAGTTGTACTAGAGACTGGGAAGCAAATCAGATATATTTGCTATTAGTTATTAGTGCTCATTAAAGGGGTTAGCTCCAAGATTTGGCTCATTGGAATGTGTGGGATAACCTGTGGATTTTACATAAGTAGGTGAATATAAATGAAGACTCATTCTTGATTCTTCGATAGGCTGCCGAAGTTCTCTTTTCTCAGTTATCCACTACTTTATTCTACCTGCACATAAAACTTCTAATTTGTACTTTTTCTATTTGTTTTCAGAATCACTTTGCTTTTTCAAAGTATAAAGATTTTCTCTTGTGGTTTTGAACCTTACCCTCTTCTTTGCATTTCTCTCTCCAGAGAAGGTTGTCTTCAGCCAAAATTCTCCAGTAGCGACACGTCTGAGCCGCTTGTAGCAGGTCTTTGGGTTCCAGGAATGAAAGCACATAAAGTGCCAGCTATGGAAAGGAAAAAGCATAGTATACCCATGTTTTAAATATATGTGTGTGTGTATTTATATTTAACATATAATTAACTTATATATAACTATTTTCAATAGAATGAAGTACTTCTAGGTAAACATAATTCTACATTCTAATTTTTAAAATTATGAAAGGCAGTACTTTCTAAGAGTCAGTCTTAAACATATACCAGACTTAAAAAACTTACTCTATTGGTTTTTATGAACTTCACCCCACCAACTTCACCTCTTCAAGGAATACTCATTAAGCCTCCCTGCCTCTGCTCTTGCCTTTGCTCTGTGAGTCTCAACTCGAGAATTCTACCATTTCTGTCTATAGATATACTTTGTTAGTTGCTTAGATTCTCTACTTTTCTCTCCCCACGACCATGTAAATTCAATGAAGATAGGACTTAAATTAAGAAATGAGATTTCTAGATATTCTGTGTGGTATGATTTCAGATCACTTCTGACAGATATAATTAATAGTTCTTTATCATGTCAAAGTGTTTATTATCACAATGATGAACTTTTCAAACATTTATACCCTTTACTGTAAAGGACAACAGGGGACAATTACTAAACTGCTCCACAGACATATAAAAGTAATTAGGTTCTAATTACTTTACATTGCTTATGGGGATTTTCTTGATCGGCCAGATAGATTTTTGTATGTTTGAACTAGCTCTTTAGTATATCACTGATCTTAAAATTTTGTTTCCAATACTTGCAAACAAGTTTTTTTCAGCATGTTTACTCAATTCAGGTAAATAAGGGAAGAGGAAAGAAGAAAGGAGGGAATGGTAGCTTCTGAGTATGCTTATCCAGTTAGCCTCACTAATCACATAAAAATTTAAGTTATGATATTAGAATCAAAATGAGCTAAACACAGCAATAAAATTTAGTTTTTACAGAAATTAAATTACAAGAATTAAAACAAACGATCATTCAAAGGGCCAAAGGCCAAATGGGAAGTAAAAGCACAATTTGAATTATTTTCTGATGCTAAACAGTAATTACATAACGTAAATTATGCTTATCCAAGAACTTTGTATATAGAGAGTTCATCATTAATCACATATTTTTTGAGTACATTTCGTATAGAAAATACTCCAACCAGTCAGTATTCAATTTAATACTACTACTAATAACTGACAGTGAAAGGCTTTTTGTGGAATAATTATTTTGGTCTATCAGAGAAGCCCATTCAGTCTGAGTCATTTTAAATAAAAAGGCATAACTATATTCAACAATCTATGTATATGTGTATATATACATACACATATACAAGTACGCAAACACATATATATCTCAACATTGTACTTTTTTAATGGATACTCCATAAGTCACTTAATTTTGAAATTATCAATCAATCAGAGCCTGGGTAAGTTTGCTCAGTGTCAGTATAACAGTAATGGGATAACACCATATTCTTCTTCTTCTACGTGAAATTGATATTTAACATAGAAATTATCAGGGACAAAGTTATACTGGTGGAAAAGAGATGCTATTTAGTGCCCAAGATATTTAATATGGTCATACAAAAAAGTCTATTCTTTACTTTAGTTATCCAGCTGAAGTAGAAATCAGGTAATTCACAGAAACAGTCAATGGATCTTAAAGGCTAGAAAACAAATCCAGAGCACCTCAGATTTCAAAGGTACATCCCAAATCATCAGTTATAATATCCTTCATTACTGGTGATTGTGAGATAACCTAGTCCAGTGTCTGCACGCATTATCTGCGTGCAGATAAGAGGAAAGAAACACTTAGGTGCTAAAGTACGTTGAAGTGTTAACTCCACACGTAACTGGCACACTTTCCTTTAAAATAGCAAAGATCCTAACTCAACCATGAACTTCTACTTATTCTATTTAAATCTAATCAGTTCTATTCAAAACATCGAAGTATTTCAGAAAATACACACAGCAAAATAAAAAATATGAATAAGAAAATCAGAACCAGTAAAAATATAAATCAGAAAAGAAGGTTTGAACCAGGGGAAAGTAGAACACAAATATACTGGCAACAGTATATTTACATGGTTTTTAAATTAAACTGCCAACCAAAAAGGGAATGGCAATTAGTTTCACAATTCTTAGTGTTTATTATGGGGGAAGTACACCAATTCCTCAAAGGAAGCAAGGTTTTGTCATGTGGGGTTCCTTATACGGGACAGAGAGTGGGCATTGTTCTGAAGAACATCTCTAGAACACCAAAGCAGGGGCTTACAGGTTTCTCGCAGACAAGTAAATGGTCTGGCTAATGCTGCGTTGTGTTCATTTGTCTTAAAGGTAAAATCTAGATTAGTAATTCCTCCTAAGGACTTCCACTAGACAGAAGCTCTTAAATTGAAAATCACTTTCATATAATTAACTTTTCCTTGACCAAACTTGAAATTTCAGTAGCAGAAAATAGGAAATGTTTCCTAGTAGTTGAAAAAAAAGGAAAACACAGATGATCTGCTAAGTCAGGGTCCTCTCTCATTCTCCTGTCTAGCCTCCCTTCTTTTTCCTCAGGCAATCTTTAAAAGAACAGTTAATCCCAGAAAATCTTTATTGCATTTATACCAGTTAATCGATAATTTGTGCTCAATTCTTAGACTCTTAAAAATATTTCCTATTCTCCTAACCTTAAATCACATTTTTATGTGTCCAAAAGTTACTATGGAAATACAAATAAAGTAAAACAAAACAAAACACTCACCATTCTTAGATATAAGGGGACAAACGAGACTAAGCAAAAGTCTATATTTTAATAAAAATACTACCTTCTAAAATAAGGAAATCCAAGGAAACCATGAAGAATATATTAGAGGTGACTAACTTTACTTTCAGTCACATACTTATAAAAGTGCTACCTATTATGAATGTCCTTCTGGAAGCAAAGAGAGCTTATGTCATTTCCTAAGCCAATTCTATTCAAAGTTTTAGAATGAGCCAGCAAGAATAAAAAAATTTTTTCTGGGACAATACAATTTTTTTTTTAACCATTTTAAAAAATCATTCCAAAGGAGAAACATTTCAGTTTGCTTTTTCCTGGAGTAATGCTTAGTTTCATACATTAAATATAAAACTATTTTATTTGTATCCAATGTGAAATTATTATTGAGACTATGTTTACTGCCCACAGGATATTTAGAATGGTTATTCACTCCTTTTCATATTTGAAGTTTCAAGATCATTTGCAGTGGTATATTATCATTTTATATATTGTCTTCTTAGCTGACATATAATTAGTGGCACATATATAATTTGTGAAAATATAAACCATGGTGACATTGATTATTTAATCTTACATTATTTGCTGGCAGAAACGAAACTGTGAAGCCTATTAACATCAATAAAAGAACTACATCTAAGCTATGCCTCGTTTATACTGCCAAGAATGCCCATATGATCATAATCAATCTGTGATAAAAAATAGTGTCAGTTCACATAAAGATATAAAAGCAACTGGGCATAAGTTAATTCCAAAAGAAATGCTGTAAGAATGTAATCAATGAAGGAAATGAGTGATTGTGCGTGTGTGTGCACGTGTGTGTGTGTGGGCGGGGGGAGACGGGGCAAGAAGAGGGATGATTAGTAGAAAAAGTGAAATTCCCTATATTTCAAAACAATTACACAATGTAAGTTAACAGAGAACTACAACTCATAGAATCACAAAACTATTAGGGAGTATTAGGGACTTTGGATAAATAAACAACAAAATAAGAAAAAAATTGCTGTTTTACTAAAATCAGAATTTCTAAAAAATCTATTACTATGTATAATAAATGTACCATGACAACTAAAGGTTGGACTTCAAATAACCTGGGAAAAAAATCATGATAAAGAAATAATCAAATTAATGGAACTCAATAGCTTACTCTCATATATGACTTATTGCAGTGGTGGAAAGAAGTCACTTAATCAGTCCATAAATATACTTTAATCTGAAAATGATATTAAGTCATAGTAGCTTATCATTTATAGCTCTCTTTAACACTAATTAAGAGTGTTAAACTGACAATACTGAATACCATAATTAGCATGACCATGTTTAAAGGTGGTTGCTGTTGAGTTATATTTTCAAATAGCACCCAATGAAGAATATAATTGATAGCCCTTACCTCTTTAGGGAGCAAGGAAATGAAGTCTCGTTGAAACTGGGGTTCTATCACTTGCATCATATGTTTTACTTGGGTTGGTTCACAACTATCAATAAGCTCATCTAAAGCAAGCAATTTCTCTGGTCCACTCCAGCTCTATCAAAAAGGAAGTAGAAATTTTTATTATTTTTATAGATGTCTCAAATTAGAAGCTCATAAAGGAAAATCCACATTTATACATAACATAAAAGGTGGCTACTTATAGTGAAATTTTCTCCAGAAGTCACTGACATGATAATCAGTCTCATCAAATTTACTAGCTACCTTTATTTTGTAAAATAAAAAGCAGCCATGGTTTTGACAAATATTTTTGCACTGCATTATTTATTATAAATGTTTTATGTTCATCTACCATCAAAATACTGGCTGAGAAACCAAAGTTTTATCTGGAAACATCAACTTGGCTACTGAGTAAATAGGATATTTTGAAAGATGATTTTCCTTTCTCTATATTCTTTCTAGTGGGCACCATAAAATTTGATGGTGTTAATAAGGCACTGATCTGAGAGTTAAGAAACTGGCAGCATCACTTAAGAGAGAAATTAATAATTGGATATACTGCACATCTGACAAACGCCTGTGGTCCACAAAATAAAAGAGCTTTGATTTATTATGTGAAAATAATTTCAGATAAAAAACAGCAAAAATATAAAACAGTAACTAAAAATTAGAGTATGAACAAAAGGGTCAGAAACAAAGTACTACAAAAACAAAAATACATCATAATATTTTAAAAAATATGAGCTATTTTAAACTAGACTAGAGGATTATTTAAAAACTTTTTTTTTTTTTTGCCAGTGAGGAACATCTGCACAGAAGAGCCATGATTCCTAAAAGGAAAAATTAAAAAGCCATGTGAATAATTTAAAATGTCAGAATTTCCCCTCACAATAATCTCATAAAACATTTAAATAACCTTGTGATATTTAAGTGAAAGAACATCCTTGAGCAGGATGATTTAAGTACATTTGTGAATTATGACGTCCATTTTGGAAGCAGGTGAAGAGAGAACAATAGGTGGTGTTTGGAGCTAGAAAGATCTGGATTTTGACATTCCATTTCTTGCTCAAACCAGGAACCTGGATTTTGTAACATGTGAAATAGATAATAACTGAAACCTGAGATATCCTGAGGATACAGGAAGCCTTATTTAGAATGCTTTTTAAGTACTTAAAAATTTTTTTACCCCTTTAGAATCTACAATGAATTTCCTTTCTTCTTTTCTATCATAAAGTGTAGATTATGTTAATACTATCAAATATTTCAGTAGTATTCCTCCCATAGCACTTATCACAAACATTATCTTATTTAATCATAAAAACCATGGAAACATTCCCATTTTACCCCCAAATAGGAGGAAACACAGGCTCTAATAAATCCTTTTATTTCTATATATGCACGCACCTAGAACATTCTCCTGGAGTACTCATCTTGTATCCTTTTTAGTTAGGACAAGGATTGACACATAGAAATAAAAAATACTCATATACATGTATCTGCATACACATGACCAATCAAAAGCAGTTAATTTGAAGTTAGATTGTTTTATTCAGTTTTCCTCACACAGCTTCAAATCCTGGTTCAAAACTTACTCTTTGACAAAACTTAACACTGATCAATCTCCACTCATCTCTGATCAGTTAGTGTCAATGCTATAAACTCTGATTTGATTTACATTCCACATAGGACTGAAGGTGGGTTTTCATAACATGTTGTTCCTCTGCATCTATATTATAAGGATTCATGGACACTAGTATAAGGACATGCCAATTTGGGTGATGGACAATTTATGCTGACTAGATAAAAATGCAGCTTTAATTAAGTAACTTGATAGCATAATAATTTTTTAAAGATTTTATTTATTTATTTATTTAAGAGAGAGCAAAAGAGAGAGAAAGCAGGAGAGGGAGGAGGGTCAGAGGGAGAAGCAGACTTCCAGCTGACCAGGAAGCTGGATGAGGGACTTGATCCGGGAACTCTGGGATCATGACCTGAGCTGAAGGCGGATGCTTAACTGAGCCACCCAGGTGCCCCTTAATGCAAACTTCTTAAACCCCTTTGCATATATGAATGCCTGCCCTAGAAATAGTTTATGGAAGTGTTTATGGTTAAATTTTGATATAAAAATAAGGATATCGTATGTAATCTTTTACAATGAAAAGAGTAAAAAACGTTTCAACATATTACTACTCTATATACTTTACATAGATTAATGACATTAATAGCTGCGATGAATATTTCTACTTCAAGGTAATATATGTTTGATTTTTTTTTTCAGTAAATGTATTGTTACTGTTTTCTTAAGATAGGAATAGAAAAGTATTATCAATACATGATATATAACTGTGTCTTTTATCAAGGGATGTAGAACGAAAAAAGCCAGAAGACAAATAACTGATTCAGACCTTAAACACTAAAAACTCTGTCAAAAATGTCTATATACTTAAGGAAAAGTCCATGACAAAAACTATGCGTGCATAGCACAATGTTTCTAGGACTTTAAACAATGTTGTTTTTTTTTTTTTAAGATTTTATTTATTTATTTGACATAGTGAGAGAGCACAAGCAGGGGGAGTAGCAGGGGGATTAGGAGAAAACAGGCTCCCCGCTGAGCAGGGAGCCCGATGTGGGGCTTGATCCCAGAAGCCTGAAATCATGACCTGAGTCGAAGGCAGATTCTTAACCGACTGAGCCACCCAGGCACCCCAACAACGTTTTTGTTTTAAACACTATTTAACAAGTCAAATAAAAAGTATACCTTGATTTAAATTATACATATATTCAGCAGATAGTACTTTGTGACATTTTATTGAAAAGTACACCACTGACAAGGATTAGCATCACAGTCTGCAAACTAGATCGTAAATGAGACTGTTTCCACAAGCACACATATTCAACAGTCTCATTACTCACTGAAATCACATCTCTTAGATGGTTCCAACAAAGGTATGAGCCACATAGACACTTTCCTCTCTCCAGCCTGGATTTCTTCCCTGAACTCCAGACCACTATATAAAATTGCTTACTCTATATGTATTCTTAGATATGTAATAGAAACTTAACATTTCCATGATCTTTCTCTTCAAATATGCACGTCCACAATCCTATTTCTGTAAAATGTAACTCCATTCTATTAGTTGCTCAGGCCAAAAACTCTGGAATCATCCCTGACTGTCCCATTCTCACCACTGTCAGATGGTTCTGGTCCATCAACAAATTTAAAAGTTTTAAACCTCAAAATATATCCAGAATCTGACCATTAACTACATTGGTCTACCTACTATCATCTCTCACCTGGATTATTCCTATAACCTCTTACCTAGTCTCTCAGCTCCCCACCTTTGCCCTCATCGTTCTGTTCTCCACAGAACAGTGAGTGATACTCATTCTTCTGCTTAAAACCCTCTAGTGGCTTCCCACTTCAAAGCAAAAACCGAAGTCTTTAGGGATGGCCTACAAGGTTCTAATTTCCTACTCCTAACCCTCTTGTTTTCTTGCTTTAGCCATAAACACATCAAGCACGCTCTGCTTCAGAGCCTTTTCACTTGCTGTTCCTGGAACATTCTTGCCCTTGATATCCACATGGCTTGCTTCCCTATTTCCTTCTGAGACCTACTCTGGGCAACCTTTCTAAAATTGCAAACCAGTTCCAACCACCTCCCCCCCCATTCCATCCCCCTCCTGACTATAATGCAAGTTCTGTGAAAAAGGGGTTTTTGTTTGTTTTGTTCACTACTGTATCCCAAGTCCAAAGTAGAACCTAGCACCTGACAGGTGCTCAGTAACTATTTGTTGAATAAATAAATGAATCCCCAAAGAGTCAGGAAATAGCACACCACCATGATCTCAAAATTCTCTCCAGAGAGTATTTCTAGTATTTATATTTGACGATATTACTAGGACTTACTTATTTAGTCTGGTTCCAAGACTGGTTCCAAATTTTGTATACATACATGATTTACCACCAAGGGAAGTATGTATTAACTTGAAAAACTAGCAGTTAATGACTATATTAAAACAAAGTAACAACCCACACCAACCTTTAATGAGGAATAGTGGAAAGAGCACTGAATTGGGGATCAGAAAACCCAACTTTTGGAGAAGATACTGCCACTAATTAGATTACAGTTTAACCTCTGTGGGCCTTAGTTTCTTTATCTGCAAAAGTGCTGTGTGATTCTGATAATTATTTTATTTCTGTTCTGAAAAACAGTTGTCCTGGATAAAAGTATCATCCTTTGGTCTTTCATGGTAAAGTTATGTGAGAACGTATTTAAGGGGATAGGAAAAACATTCCAAATTCGGAGAGGATCAAGAGAAACAAAACTTACTTTGTGGACAAAATTGCAAATGCAAACTTGAAAATTCCCCACGGAAGTGGTATTTTATTTCAGATAATTAGAGCATGCAGGTAGGAGAAAAGAATATAAGGAGCACTGAACTGTAATCGTGAGCTTGGGTTTCACCAGTAAATTCACCATGGAACCATTTGAAAGTGCCTTAATTAATCTGAGTCTCAGAGACCCCACCTGTATAATAAGGTCCTTGGTGAAGACCAGTGTCACCCAAATGCTGGTTGAGGAGTGTAAGGATCAGAGTCCTACGATTCACCATCAAAGAGTCTGATTCAGTGGTCAAGGTGGGGCTGAGGATATTTTATGTTTTAAATAAACAACTCATCTAGTATTGATGCAAGTAATTCATAAACAGTAGTGGTTACTAGTCTGGATGATCCCTATAGCCCATTCAGACAAACATTTTATGACTTTGGGCAGTACTGTGCCTGAATTTCAAGTGGTCAAGAACTCAGTTCTCATGACTTGCTTAAACTCTTCCTCACACAAGGTTTCTTGCTCATACTGCTTCAAATACAATTGCAAGGTAACACTAAATTCATTTTCTTTTGGCATCATCCTGTTTTAATATTTTGTTGACTAGAAAATAAAAAAGACCTAAATAAAATAAGTTAGAGAACATGTACAATTTCTAAGTGTTAACATGGAACTTAATTAAATCCTTCAAGAGAGTATTTTTATTCCACTTTTAATTTCAAAACACGTATTTTCTACTTTATCATTTAAAAAATACTTTGAGTATAAGTATTTTCCAAGTACAGAGTACACAGTTTTAATGCAATGCAAATTTGTTTTGATTAAAATAATGCTAATAATGTTAACCTAATAACACTTGTATGTAGCTGTTTTTACTAGCCCTTTTTTAGACCGGAGAAAACTAAGGCTCACAAAGGCTATTTCTTGACCAAGAGAGGAAACTAACATTTACTGAATCTCCACTATATTTCCAAATATAGCTGTAAGCACATTAATATGTTGTCTCCTGTTTGACAACTTTTAGTGTTGTATTTGTTTTATAGAGGACGAAAATAAGGCAAGAGTGGTTACATAATACCAACAAAATTCCATAGTATTAGGAGGCAAAGCCAAAATTTGTACTAAGATCTTTTTCTTCTAAGTCATATGTGTTTCTCATTATATAAGGATACCTCTAAATATAAATTTCAACATAAGATAATGTTAATTTTATTGGTGCCTTTACTAAACCCACATATTAACACACAAATGCACAAGCAAACAAAATGACCAATCCTCTGTCCCAAAATTAACAACCTGAAGCATCAACCTGGCTGCCAAAAAAAGCAGAATCAATGGCTACTAAAAATTTAAACAGGACAAAATTTCTGGTGTGTTGTTTTGTTTTGAATTTCCACTTCTATATTGCAGGGGCATTTTGTTTCAATTTCCCTTTATCCAAAATGGTGTATCATTTGTTTTCATTCAATTTATAAATTGAGTACAGAGTACTTTGTCAGAATAGATGGAGGTGGACCAAAACAATGCTGTATCATTGCCTTAGGAGCAATAGCAGAACAGTAAGGGGACAAGCTCTCCCATTTTGCTTGTTATGTAACAGAAAAGTCCTCATTAAATACCCCCCACAGCACATCTGTAGAAATCATGCCAGTTTAATTATCCCTCAACTATAGCACATAGGTCAACTCATGACTCCCCCACCTTACTATGAAATATCTCTCCACATGTTAAGCATGAAAGCATTGTAAGTTTTTAGGCAAGTGATTCATCTCTAGTTCCTTTGGTGCCAGCCCTGAAAATAAAGGGCAATGCCCAACAATGAGGCCCTGGGTGTGTCAGAGATGGATATGGTACTCAAAGGATTAAGGTCCTGATATACCTGTCTAGTTGGCCTTTTGTTGCTAGTAGATTTCTTTGCTGCAGAATATTTATCTGAAAAAATACACATAGTACTATACCTGCAGGGATAATTCTACCTATTATTCCTATTAGCTAAGAACAAGTTTTCTTGACTGCATCTACTTGTCACATGAAAAGCAATCAAATGGGCTTCTTTTTACAGAACAAAAGCTAACCTTTAGTTTATTGAATCTCATTAATTCTAAGAAATGATTTTTTAAACAACATTTTTGAAGATGGAATGCTTCTAATAACCTATGTATCTCAGACTTGATGACATACAATATGTGGTAACATGTGGACATTTCAGTAAGAAAACCATGAGCAAGGGGCACCTGGGTGGCTCAGTAGGTTAAGCGTCTGCCTTCAGCTCAGGTCATGATCCCGAGGTCCTGGGATCAAGCCCTACATCAAGCTCCCTGCTTGATGGGGAGCCTGCTTCTCCTTCTCCCTCTGCCACTGCCGCTGCTTGTGCTCCCTCTCAAATAAATAAATAAATAAATAAATAAATAAATAAATAAAATCTTTAAAAAAAAAATGAAAGAAAAAAGCATGAGCTAGTGAAATAGGCAAGCATTATACAAAGAACTCCCTAAAACACCCTCCCTGCAAAATAAAGCACAAAGAGTCCTAGGATCAGGCTCAGCAGGGGGCCTGACTCTCCGTCTGCCCCTCCCCTGTCCATGCTCTTTCAATAAATAAATAAATAAATAAATAAATAAATAAATAAATAAATTCTAAAAAATGCTATGAAATCAGCTTCTGCATTACTCTCAAGTGCTGTGCTGCTCCCATTGTATGTGTGTGCGAGCATGACAACACATACCTATATTCCCATCTTGGCTTAATCAAAGATGAGAAAAATCTTTAAAGTATTTCTTTAAAAATGTGAATGTCTAAGTCCTATTTTCACCTCTTACTGATGGATAAATTTCTTATCAAAAGGATATGGTAGGGTTGCTGGAGTGGTGGGGGGTGGGAGGGATTGGGTGGCTGGGTGATAGACATCGGGAAGGGTATGTGCTATGGTGAGCACTGTGAATTGTACGACTGATGAATCACAGATCTGTACTTCTGAAACAAATAATGCAATATATGTTAAGAAAAAAAGAAGAAGAAGACAGCAGGAGGGGAAGAATGAAGGGGAGTAAGTCGGAGGGGGAGACGAACCATGAGAGACGATGGACTCTGAAAAACAAACTGAGGGTTCTAGAGGGGAGGGGGGTGGGGGGATGGGTTAGCCTGGTGATGGGTATTAAAGAGGGCACATTCTGCGTGGAGCACTGGGTGTTATGCACAAACAATGAATCATGGAACACTGCATCAAAAACTAATGATGTAATGTATGGTGATTAAAATAACAATAAAAAAATTATTAAAAAAAAAAAGAAAAAAAAAAGGATATGGTAGGGGCGCCTGGGTGGCTCAGTTGGTTAAGCATCTGCCTTCGGCTCAGGTCATGATCCCAGGGTCCTGGGATGGAGCCCCATGTCAGGCTCCCTGCTCAACGGGGAGTCTGCTTCTTCCTCTCCCACTCCCCCTGCTTGTGTTCCCCCTCTCTGTCAAATAAATAAAATCTTTAAAAAAAAAAAAAGGATATGGTAAAAAAAATTAAAATTCTGAGTGGATGCATAGGAAAAAATTAAAACTTTAAAAAAAATCAGGAACCTCAGGTAAAAGAACTGGGAGGGGGAGAGAGAACAATCCTTGCGGAAAAGTAAGTTTAATCACTTTGTGACGATGCAAACAAAAAAAAATTATTTGTAATTTTAGTCATTCATAACATTACAATAAGAATAATATACAACTTTAATTCCTCTAACCCACAGATGCTCAGTCTCACACTGGTGACATTTTGGGCCTGAGGACAGTTTGCTACAGGAGGCTGTCCTTTACATTGCCCCTACCTACTAGACGCCAGCAGTGTCCTGCCCTCCACCCCAGCTGTAGAAACCAAAAATGTTTCAACAGAGGGAAAAATCTGCCCCCTGTTGAGAACCACTGCTCTAACCTTTCAGTTACCAACTGAAAAAAAAGGTTACCCTAGTTTCTCTGAAATCACCTGAAGGGCAGAAAACAATTCTAAAAATCCATTTAAAAGCAACATTGATTCAAGTGAGTTTTCTAGCGATAGAAGAAAAAGATTAGGACATTTATTTAGTTTTTGCCCAGGAATTTAATATATAAGGATTTACATAATGGACGTCTTAAAAATCTGAAATATCAAATAAAGTCAAGTAAAGTATCTTCTTTTTCCTTTATGCATTTTTATTCCCTTATGCATTCATAAAATACCACCAATCAAGCAGTCGGAGGTAAGGAAATATATTCATTTTACATTAATGCCATGGTTAATATCAGAGATAGCTTCACTTTACATAATTTATATTATTTAGTATTTACAAAGAACAATTTAAGCAAGTGTTAAATCTAGGTCAACTATTTTGCTAAATACTTGATTTATATGCATTATCTCATTGGAAGAAGAAATAAATCAATTTACTATCACTATCAGGAGTTATAAAATTCCTAACAGAGGTTTGGTTGTAGCCAATCTTCCTGGTAAACTTTCAAAGAATTTAAATGCCAGTAAAATACAGTAATCAGAATTTGAACATAAGAAGCCATACACAAGCATGGCACAGATGAAAAGAAGCTGTATCAACTCTTGAAGACTACTAGGGTAACAGTGATGGGTAAGTCACCACCAGTGACTGATTAGCAGAGTTCCCACATTACTCCGAAATGCTTAACTTCCAAGCACTCTATTTTATTTATTTTTTAAAAGATTTATTTGGGAGAGTGCGTGTGTGTGCACACCAGTGAGGGGAGGGGCAGAGGGAGAGGGAGACAAGAGAATCCTTAAGCAGAATCCCCACTGAGCATAGAGCCCGACAAGGGGCCCAATCCCAGGCCCCTGAGATCATGACCTGAGCCTGAAACCAAGGATCAGCTGCTTAACCAACTGAGGCACCTAGGCAACCCCTAAGCAAAAAATTTTAGAGAGCAAGTACATTCAGCAACCCCAGAAACCCAAACATAAAGGAGAAAAGGAAGAAAGGTCTTACTATCTAAAAGGCAATAAAAAATGCAAATGCACACTAATACAAAATATGCATTGGATTCTCTCGATGGATACACTTAAAAATTAAAATGAGCTTCCTTATTTTCAAAGGCATTTTTTATTGACATATACTTCACATAACATAAAAGTCACCATTTAAAATGTACACTTAAATGGTTCCCAGCATACCTATCTTGCTATGCAACCATCATCACTAACGACTCCAGAACATTTCCATCACCCCAAAAAGAGATCCCATACCTATTAGCAGTTAGTCCCAATATCCCCTCACCAATCACATTGCAATCACTAAACTACATTCTGTCTCTATGGATTTGCCTATACTGGATAGTTCATGTAAATATAATCATGCAATATGTGGCCTTTTGTGTCTGGCTTCTTTCACTTAACATAATGCTTTCAAGGTTCATCCATGGTGTAGCATGTAACAGTTTCTTCTCATGGCTGAATAATCCCTTATTTTTTGCAGCAATTAAGTGAAGCATTTCAAGTACTGTTAGACATGTCACCTGAAACATTTTCAGCCATTCCTGGAGGCCTGTAGGTGGTTGGACAGATGTAATTCGGCGTCGTTGTTGCCCTTGGCCATTGGCTGCTCTCAGGTCTCCAAAAGTTGTTGGTGTTGCTGAACATGGTACAAGCCCAGTGGTGCTACAAAAAACAACAAAAAACAAACAAAAAAACCCACAAGAGTGGAAACAAAGATAGGCATTTATTAAGAATAATGGGCTTTAATTTAATAAGAATATGATCTGGCATATTTCAAACATCAATAGAATTATTACTTTTGTTTGCTTATTCCCAGAGAGCAAGGATACACAAAATCTAGTCTGCTATTCTTAGAGTAGGTTTCCTGCCTCCTACATAGCCACCTGTTATTATCCCAGCAATGCTAATTGCAACCAAACGACAGAATCTCTATGGCAAAACTGCAACTTGTTGATACATATAAGTGATGTTAAAATATATCCTTAGAAGATACAGGTCCCACCTCTCTTATGACCACTCTTCAGTTACTTAATTAAATAAAAGTTCCAATTTCCTTAATAAAAAGAGTTGTAAAACTTACTAATGCTTTAAAAAATTCATATGTAGAAGCAGTATGCTCAAATATTTTGGACGTTTCACTAGATACATTCTAAATTATTTGTAATATTTATTTCTTTTCAACTTTCCACTGTTGTTTATAAAGCTTAGCGTAGATGACATTTGACAGGAACAAGCCTTGATTAGACATATATTTACTCAAAAACAGTTAAATATTGAAAACTTACTATATTATATATAAAATTAAATAAAATGAGATGATCTAAATACTTTTATACAATAAAACTCTGAGACATTAAAGAAAACAAACAAACCTGAAATTCAATTCTGCCACTAGTAAAATGAAAGAGTTAAGACTAGATGATCTATCTCTAGAACTGTCCAACTTTCCTAAAAATGATTAATAGAAGAAAAAGTATAGTTATAACCAAGTTATTAATATATTAAGCTTTACTTTCTAATTCAATAATAATTAAACTGTTTATTCTTGAGGTAAATACTGAATATTTCTATTTTAGAGACATTTGGAAAAAAATGCAGGAAGACTCATAATTACATTTGTAAAATAATCTTCAGCTTATTGAGCTATGATAATAAAGTGTTTTAAATCCAAAGAACATAAAAATTGTATCCTAACAGCTCAATATCTGCTTTGATAAATTACTAATGAAAACAACTCCCCAATTCTTTACTATCCAAAGTATCTCATTATTTTGTTAAAAAATGTATCTTAGTCACCATATTTTACAGAAAAATCTACATATCTACCACCTTTAAATCTTTTAACATTATACATCTATGATAATCTCTAACAAAACAATTAAATCTATCTTACTGTCTATCAAATTTCAAAAGCTCATTTTCTTCTCCAAAATGAAAGAGAATGTGATCATAACTTAAATTTTCTAATAAAGATGTTAAGATGGAAAATCAGTTTCATTGTTATTATTAGAAAATCTGTCAAAAAAATTAAAAAACACCAAATATATACTGACAAAGTCTCCAAAAAGACATGGAAGTCAATATGCTGTTTGGTTTGCTTTGGTAAGATTATGTTAAAAGGCTGAAAACAGAACGTGCACCTTTTCAGGTGTTTTCTCAATATAAAAAGTGAGCAACTAAAGGTAAAATTCGATTAAAATGTGTCCTGTAGTAAAAATTTAGCATTTGTTTATAAGCAGCCTTAAAAACAACTGAACCATTTAATACCTTTGTCCTGGTATCAGCCATATTATTAGAAGACCAAAATGATATGGCTGACTGGAATCTACACATTAAAAATAGTACATTTTTAACATTAAACTCAACTTTCTCATCTAAGAAATACTTTATCAAGACTAGAAGAAAAAAGCAAAAATGAAGTGAAGAGTTTCACTTGTCTCTCTATCACTCCACACCCTCTGGTGGAGGTGCCCAAACAGTGAAATTGTCAAAAGGCAAAGGGGAAGAGAAAAGGGGACAGGACAATCAACATGGGGAAATCACACAGAAAGCATTTCTTGAATAAATAGGAGATAGTTTTATTTTTCTCTTCTGTATCATCTCTGCATTTTTTGCATATAAAACTAATTATTATGATTTCTAAATTTCATGGAAGAGCATTTGAAAAAAATTTTTTTTACAACTGAATGAAATAAAAATATAAACTCTTTGGGAAAAAAAAGAGATGCAATCTCTAACAGTGCTCAATCACAGAAACAAGTCTGAGGAATGTTAATTTTATTGCACCTTATATAATAAGCATAACTTTAAATCAAAATATTTACGGAAAAAAAGAAATATCACCATCATGAAGTTCTTATGGCTTCTAGAGCTAACTTTTAATCAGTAATTTGAAGTAGTGACAATTATGCAAAGAAGACCAAAAAAAGCTCTGAAGATACTTTTTTCATTTAAATTTTAAAATTCCAAATGACATCCAAAACCATTTTTAACTGGCTGGGTAATAGATATTGTGCTTAAGTTAGCCTAATTAGCGTGAGAGTGGGAAAAGTTTTATACTGATGCAAAATCCAAAAATGATGGAATGGTGCACAAAACAAGACTACAATTGTATTTAGTTGTTACGGAAACTATTTTACTGGTGTGGAAATGTATGTGTTAAAAACATAAGATCTACCAAGCAAATAAAAGGGGATTTCTAACACAGTAAGATTTATTTAGCAACTGTGAGGTTTAATTCACTGCTAATAAATGTATCTTCAATTTTGCATATATAAATATCTACCCTAGAATAGCTGTTGCTATAGTAACAAGATATATTTGCTCATATTCATATTTTAGAATTTACTTTTTAGAATTCCTTAAAATTTGTGATTTAAAAATTTTATTTGTAAGAAAAATTCTGTTGTGTCTTATTTCAAAGAATTAGTAAGAAAACACAGGCTATAGTGGTAGTCATTCTTCTTACTTAAAATTATGTATTTCTCAATTTTTAGTGATCTCAAAATGTGTTACAGAGTCAACAGTACTAGTGACATTATGATCCTATGAGAATAAACTGGAAGAAATGCTTTTGGAATCATCACCTCTTTAAAGAAACATAAAAATCATGAGTGAATCAATTATTATACTTAATATTACCTTGTATATTCTGAGACTTTGCATGGTTTCTTTCCCAAAGAAAAAGAGCGGACCTCAGAACCATGGTCTAATTTTCTTTTCATCTATAAGGTAAAGCAAATAAGATAGATTTAAGAAAAAAATCACTTGTCCCAACTAGCAAATCTTAACATTAGCACTGGCAATAGTGAAAAAAATTCTTAAATTTTCATATGCCTAAATTTTCATTAATTAGGCATAGTTAATGTATGTAGAAAATAAATGCTTCATGGTTTCTTTTACTAGTTCTACTTTGTTTTACTCTTTAAAGACTAGAAAGGTGAATTCCCCCCTCCAATATTTTGTCCAGAAGAATAGCATATGGTGATTTAAAAATTGATATTCATCATACATATTCCTTGAAAGTGATATACCTTTCACATTTTCCAGTTTAAGAACCAATATAGGGGAAAATTCCATGTTAATACACATATTACAGAACCATATTTAACATGTCTCTCTTAGTGATCATCATTTTCCTTTAAAAACATATTTCAAGATAAAACAGACAAAACTCAAAAATTTTGAAACCTGAATGGAAGTAACAGTAACTGAATTTAAAACACACAGATTATTACAAAAGTATAAAAAGAACAGTGTAAATAAACTGATCTTGGAAAGTATAGTAAGGCAAAAGCAATGAATATGGGCAATGAGGGGAGTAAAAAAGTAAATCTATAACAGGAGAGAAGTCTGGAGGTGGTATAATAAAGGTGGAAAAAAAGCCATCAGTTGATATTTACACAGAATATAACTTCACTGACAGATGCTCACTCAGGACAAAATATTCTAACTTGAAAAGCAACATCAACAAAAAGATTTTAAAAGAATGAGTTAAATATCTTTGTAAGGTATATCCGGTATCTATAGTTTTCAAGTATTTCCTTATGCTATGTATGTGTAATACTGTAAATTCACATTCAGAATTGCATTTTGTCAACATCAAAATTGAAATTTTTATTTTTTATATTTCACCATCCGTTAGTAACTGAGGTCATCTAACTATAGATCTGTCATAAAACTAGAAAATAAGATCTGTTAAGATTCAACTTTTTCTATTTCAACAACCCCCTCAAGATCTGTGTCTTCTAATTAATTACTGTACTACTGAAAATTATGGGGGAGGGGGAGACCCAGAGTGATAGAGAGCTATACTCATTTTTTTATAATAAGGTGAAAACCCTTGCTTTGCAGCAGACTTCTTTCCTTACCTACTGCCTCACATGAGAACATCATAACACAGCATGCTACATTATAAATACTAAGAAGAACCAACAAGACTCTATAAAAATTTTTGAACCACACTATGGATAATAAAGACTATGTTTTTATCATCATGAAAAAGTCTTCCAAAATACAGGGATGATCTTATGATATCAGGGACTAGAGTGAGGGTACAACAAGCTCATCCAGGATTTATACCTTAGTTCAAGAAATACCTACTGGAAAGAAATGGAATTGGTCTTATTTCAACCCTTCAGAACTTTCTGTACTCATTATATTGTTTTAAAGTGATTCCTCTCAAAAACCATTATTTCCTTTCTCCAAATAATTTTAATAAAAAGCAAAAATAAACATATAAGCCTTAACATGTAGACAGCCACGTGCTTCCATGTAGATAAATTATAGACACGTACACATACACGCAAATGTATCTATCAGGAAGGTCAGTCAGTACAGATTACCTTAAAAATCTAGTTTTTTTCCATAACTTCCACAGATTCTTATTTTCAAAATTAACATGAGAAACTTTGATATTCATTCTAATTAAGTTGTAATACTGGCTTTCAGAACTTCCCTGGGTATCTTGTAAATACACATTGGTGCAAATGCCATTTGCCACCAAAAGCAAACTTTATTTCCATCTTAGAAATCCTTCAATGAATAAAAATGCCCAAGAGACATATCGAGGGAACCATTTGGAAAGGATTTTTTTATCTTCAGAATATTTTACCAAATAAAGCACTTTCTGTAGGACCCACAGAAGTCTTTTAAATATTATATTATTTACTGAAAATCCTGACTTTAGAACCAAAAATTAATTCTGCAATTTTTTAAGGGGCACAGAAAGTAAATACGATCTTTTAAGACCTAAGTCCTAAATATTGTAGTGATTCTAGACTTTAAAAGAGTCAACTAAAGAAAAAAGAAAAGAAATATACATAAGGTATAGAAAAATTAAAGGCAAAAGATTCACTAAAAGCCAACTAAGGGTAGAGTATTTCCAGGTCAGCATTTAACGGAGCCACATTTCCAAAGTCTAAATATATTTTTAGTGAAAATTCCCAGATTAAAATACACATTTTATTTTAAATTTAAAGCTGTTTACAGCTTATGCGGTCTTTGCATTATTTGCTTACATTCACGTTATAAAACAGAATACCAGCCATCCAGCCACCCACCAAAATTAGAGGATACTGCAGCCATCTCTGATGATACAGATTTTCCTTCTCAGGCAGGCACACACACACACAATCATACAACACAGGAAGAAAACAGATTACTTACTTTGTAAAAAATCATTTTTAGTGTGCCGTAGAAACCCATATTTTCTGTATTTTTCCCCTTCAGTGATTCTGTGCCCCCGTGTGTCCGGCTGCTTGGCAGTCTCTGACAATATAAACCTTTTTCAGGTAGGTATGTCACAGATTCTAATGTGGACATGCTCAGGCACGTCAGAAAGGGAAGATTAGGGAGCAGAACCGGCAACAAAACTCCACAGTAAAGGCAAATGCAGCTCAGTATCAAACCGCTTCTCGGGACACACATACATACATGCAGCTTGACTGAGGAGAACTCGAGGGAATAATGAGAGAGAACCGAGAAGATTATTGGAGGAGACTATGCCCTGTCAAAGCCTTGACTGAACAGATTCCTCCCTCAGCAGCAGAGGGATCAGATTACATCTTCCCTTGAACACAGAATGGTGCAGTCCAGGATTCAGCAATGCAGACTGCACATCAATTATATGGTGATCCGCTCCAGGGAACCCGTAAGCACACAACGCACGGAACAGAGGGAGGATGTGGGCAGCAGATGAGACCGCCCCCACACGACAGCCCCCTTCCCCTTTCAAAACTTTCAGGAGATTATTTTGTATTTTGTAAAGCCTGCATTTCTGAAGAGTTTTAAATGGCAAGCATCCTTTCCACAAATAAGTGCTTTCAGAAACATTTTGAAAATGGAATATATTTTCCATACAGTCCTCCCAACAGAAGCAAAGCAGGCTATTTCCACTAACTGTTATCCTATTGCAGTACTGGCACAGACTGATCACATTTTTCAAGTAGCTTAGATGACACAAAATGAGCAATCCCAAAGGGAGAAATTAAATATTCTTTGGGGGGATTTACAATAAAGTAAACCAGTTTGGAGCATATAACATTTGCAGAAATTAGGTAATAAGTCATATTTCAACCTGCATATTTCTTATATTAACATTTAATGAAAATATTCCCTATGTTTTTCCATTTCACTCATTTAAAACATATCAAGAAAATTACCACACACTTCATCAATTCTTAGTAATCATGACGATTTATTTTTAAGACTATCAGATTGGTATTAAGTGTATAAAGTTTGGCCAAAAGGTCCTATTTCTCCAAAGAAAGCAAAAACTGGGCTCATTGGAGAGTCTTAACCTTATTTGTGAATTTAATCTTGAGTAAACAGGAAGTATTGGACTTCTACCTCCAAAATTATTTTGACAGTGTGTATTGTTTATCTTTAAAAGGGTAGTTTACACAATAATAAAAAAATACCAAAGTGTGCCTGAAGGCAACCTTTTGCTCAGAACAACTACTTCACAAATCTAGATATTTTATCTCCCAACTTGCTACATAGCTAGCTTCAGAGGCAATTATAAGATTCCTTGGACTAGAAAGGCCCATTATTAAGGGTCTAGTTAATTAAATCCTACCCTCCCCATTAACATTCTTTATTACAAGTAAACTGTTTGGCTATAGTTATTTATGTACTTAAAAAGTTTCCTCAGAACAAAAGAAATACTATGTGGACTTACTACATTTTAATACTCTCCGCTATGGTTAGTGAATGACTTTCATTAGGTAAATGATTCTAAATGCTGCATGAAGTAACCATAATTTTAAAAATAAATATGTTTACCTGTATAACACATTAAGTCACTGTAATGTCTTTTACTTTAAAACATAAATGAAATAAGATAATCTAAAATTTTATAAAGACATACATCTTGGGTCTTCTGGAAATTACCCTCAGAAACAGTATGTACATGTACCCAGCAAATCGTTAGTTTTCTAAATAAACAATTAGTTTACTTCAAAGGAAAGTTCTTTTTAAAAAGAAATCTCTTAGCAAAAAAAAACAAAAACAAAAACAAAAAAACCCAACTGTTAGGAACGGACCTATAAACCCTTTTGTTAGAAGATTCAGAGCACTCAAGATTTAAAAAAAAAATACAAAGTAAAAAAAAAAAAAAGTAATTTCCCCTCCACCACCTGCCTCAATTCTGGGCTATATAAAGAAACTAATTATAAAATGAACACCTAAAATCTTCTCTAAAATTTGTCAGTGCTAACTAGCTTATTAGAGGACAAATGGACTACCCATCAGTCATATAACAGTATACACTTTGACTTCAATTGAAATCATGTCCTCTCTCTAAATGAAGTAACTTTTTCAAATTAAGTCTACTCAATTGAGGACACAGACCAACTTTAATAAACCAGGGCCACTTCCAAAATCTAGGATATTTAAAAGAAAAAAATAATTTTGTATATTCAAAGGAATTCTCTTATGGTTATATAGCTCCTTTGTATGGTATGAAGTTATGGGAAAACCTGATGCTGACAAATGTGTATTTATATGCAGGTATGTATAGTCATGTTTTATTTTTGAATAGGCAAAATATTTACATGATTCAAAACTCAAAGTGATAATCAAAAAGTATATATTGAAAAGACTTTCCACCACCTGACATCCCCATCTTCCATGGGTCCCATTTCATAATTATTTTTATTAGTTTGTCCTTTAAGTGAGAATGTATATGTTTATAAGTACTCATGAAGACTTTATTTTCCCAAAT